CTCTTTTGATTTGTTATTTGTATATCCATTCTAATTATTAAGACATCTTTAAATCCACTTTCAGATCAGTCTCACTACAATAGTCCTTGACTTATGACCACAATTGGGGCTGGAATTTCCATTGCTAAGTGATGCGGTTGTAAAGTGAGATATCATGTGACTGCATCACTTAGCAACAGCAATCCTGGCATTCCCCATTGCGGTCATTAAGCGAATTCCACTGGTCATTAGCTGAGGACCAACCCCAAGCCAGGCCATTCCGGGCTTGGTCCCTCCCATCCCTGAGCCTCAGTAAGGTAAGGGGCTGCCTCCAACTCCCCCCACCCACCTACCCTCCCCATCTCTGCCCTTTTGGCTGCCCTGCACCCTGCCTTGCACCAAACAACATTTGCCTGGGAAGAATCTTGCAAGAGTTAAATCTGCACATGAGCGTGGCCTTTTAGGGACAGGAGCTCTCTCCTTGGGCAGTGAGACAAAGAAGGCAGCAGTGGTGGTCCTTGCAGAAATGGAGCCCCATGTGGGAGGCTGCGTTTGCTATGCTAGCAACCCCTATTCACGTGCTTGTTGGCTGCAAGGAACCCTAAGCCTGAACCTTCTTTGATGTCTTTCTTCCAAATTGGACGGTTGGATGGGGGGAAGCATGGAGCTTGGACTCCCATTCAGTTTGCCTCATTCCTTCAGGTCTTCCTTTGGTGGCAGATGTTTTTTAAGGGGGGAAGCCATTGCCTGCAGTCTTAGACTCATGATAGGGTTGGGGGGGCGCTGCTGCTTTTATCCTGGAAAAAACCAATAGGGAAATGAGGGTTGGGAAGAGGGGCAAGGAGATGCAAGGAGGAGCAGGGTGGCAAAGTCAGACCCTAGTTTGCCTCAGTTTCATTGGATCCTTTCCTTGCAGTTCCCAGGCAGTTCAAATCTGTGGGTGCAGCCAAGACGGTTTTTGGTGTGCTGCAGCTCAGGGGCTGCTTGCTGCCCTGCAAGGTAGGATGAAGGGAGGCTGAAAGGGCATAGAAAGGGGAGGAGGTAGGTGGGTAGGGGGAATTGAAGTGCCCCTGTGGTTGTAAGTGCGGGTGGGCTGTCAAGCGCCTGAATTTTGATCACATGATGGGTCATAAGGCCCTTCGTTCAGCACCGCCAAAACTTCAGTCACCGAATGGTTGTAAGTTGAGGACTACCTGTATCGTCTGGTATAACTTGTTCCTCTTCTATAACATCTTTTAAGCACAGTCTATCTATAATGGCAGACACTCTTAAAATCA